GTTAATAAAAGAATGTGGTGGCGAATAATTACAATTTAGCTGGTTAGTAAAACATGGCCGGTAATTATCCAATCCGGGTATTTCGATGGAAGTTCGCGGAGGAACTGACTGTGAGTGAAATTCGCAGCTTCATGGGCATCCGCTGGTAGCTAGGAAACGGTATTATATACATGTATACGTAAGCTTCGTCACCCCACCCCCCCTCCTTATACTCTTTCTCTCTTTGTTGGTCCTATGGCTGCGGCAGAGGGTATAAAGCCCACGGGGTACTTCGGCGAACGGGGGATGCCGTTTAGTAAACGCTTTAAACCGTACTCAAAACAGACGTACCGATTCCGTTAGGGCGAAAAACGTGGAGCGATAAAACGGATTCGATTTGGAGGAGAATAAGAATGGTCGCAATGTTTTCTACTTTTGTTCACAACTTTATCAATCCCTCGACCCATCACTTTATACACAATTTGATTTAATTATTGTAAAAAGCTAATGCTAGCCTTGTCAAAATCATTGAGGTGTCATTAAATTTGACTATATACATAAGGAATTATTAATTTTAAATGTTTATGAATATTACAAGTGCGGAAGTATTAAATATTTTTCAAATCGTCGCACGAAAATTATATCAATTTCTATCGAATTTCGAATATTGGTGAGAATTTTCATTGAATTGTCGGGAGTAAATACATTTATCCCGTTACGGATCGTCAAATCTCATTCGCGCGCGTATCCCCGGGCCGGAGTGCAAGCGGCGCGAAATATGATAAAGGAACGACAGATACAAAAATTCTGAACGCGTTGAATAATGCAAAAGTAAGCGTACAGGGGAAACATCAACCATTCCCACCTCGTTGGTGGTGATTCAAAATTAGACATCAGTCACCAGCAACGGTTCAATTTGCAGTGGGACAACCGTGTTTCATTCGCAAGCAAAACAAATAGAACAACGATTCCGTCCTAAAGCGATTTGATAGACCGATATATATTACGTTAGACGGTGCACAAAATTCGAATTTATCTGAACGTACGCTTTGCAGGCCAACAAACTGCTCTTCCGTGTAACACAATTATGCACACTGTTTAAGTACGAAGAATTTACTGCAGCTTAAAATTCCTCATGATTCATCATTAAATAAACATCTATCGGAATTAAAATATTTGTTGACGTAGTTTTAAATTAAAAGATCTCGATATTGTGTTCGAATATCTTTTAAAAATGAAATGAAATGTTTAAAACGAATTCCTGCTTTTTAATAGAGAAGTAGATATTTTACACATTGGTGAGCTTGGTATTTATTATTCAGAATAAGCGAATAGAAAGCGTATTAACTATATATAATTTTGTTATTTCTTATTCAATTAATATTTATTAATTTAATTGTTTTAGGAACACCAATTTTGAATTGTTATAGTAAAAATATTTATTTAACAAACTCCATGAAAAATTATTTTTAAATTTTGTATTTCTACTGACGACTGGTACAGTAAAATCTGAATTAGAAGAGAGAAAAGATGCAGGGACAGAAAAATAGGACGACATAGGACTAAAGGACAGTTTTCTAGCCTGGATTAAAATAGGTCGCACAGTTATGCACGCGACGATGCGAAAAATGCGAAAGTCCACACGTTTTCACCATAATACTGCTTTAACGATCAGACGCGATCTAGAACATCCTCTGATGTCCATGTAAAAGCTTACGAATGCCACACGTTTAACTATTCAATGAGTTTTAATTTGTTAATCTCCCATTATTAACCATTCAAGTATTTCAAAGATTCCATTAAATGTTTAAATGTATTTATATTATAGTTAAAAGGAGAATGAATTTTTAATACATGGTTGTAATTAGCTGTTGTAGTTAGCAAAAATCAAATTTTGCTTATCTGTACTCTAAAGAAAATGTATTTTCGTACTTGCATATTAATGCTATAATTTTAATAAAATAATTATAACATTGAAGAGTTTACGAAAAATTGATTGCTTCCACATATTATGCACATTACATTGAGAGGATTAACGAAAAGAATTTGAAACTTTCGTTTAAACGCTGGATAAAAGTATTCCGTGACGGATGGTTATCATCGCACTCGGGCTTCTTAAACCTGAATCGAAATAATTTTAGGGTAATTTCAATTTAGCCGAGCCGGCTCGCGGGACACTAATTACGAAAATCGTTCTGGAAGTTGGACCGGAGAAAGTTCGTCAAAACTCGACGTAATTAGATACCGGAATCGTGCTACTCTCTTTAAGAGAAATTTCGCCCGGCTCGGAAACTGAAACGAACATCTTTGTAATATTGGAAGGAAAGAACGTTCCCGTGCAAGTACAGAACACTGAAGATATACGAAACCAAACCATAGAAATTAATTAACACTGGCTTTAATTAATAAAATGCTTACAAAAGAAAATAATGAAATTACACAAGTTCTTCAGTATCTTTAATTTAATACCAAGTTGAAATGCAAATTACTTCGGTAATAATACGAAGTGCATAAAAAGACTTCAGTATTTCTGATTTTTTAATACTTTTTTTCTTTCTTCTTACAATGATTTTGCAATCTTTTCTTAAAATTTTTCGCTAGGAATAATTCACATAACGCATTCACGAGAAAACTTGAGAATGAAGAAAGTACACATTTGATAAATATACCTAACACTGAATTCACATTTCACAGAAAGTAATTAACACGATGATGAAGTTAATGCGATGAAGCAATTGTGTAAACAGCGACCATTGATTTATTCATAACGCATTTAACGGCAATTGACACTTGCTGCAGCAACATTAATATGCAATTAGAAGTTGTAATAGCGCTCGACTGTTAGTGTCTCCCAAATTTGAACTTTGTCGAATTTCTATGCACATTACAATTATAATGTCTAAAGTTTAAAGCATACTTAATGTACAGAAATATGAAGTTTACTTCATGTCTCGTCTGGTTTATAATCATGTAACATTTACTTCGTATGCATATTGTATAATAATAATATACCTCGTTGTCAAAAACTAAGTTTACTGGAATAACAAATAAGATTCATTGAAAAACATTATAGTTCCTATCTCTATTCCTTAAACATATTCGTAGCATTTATCTAATAAGGAATTTTAAACATATATATGCATATTTCAATTCTCAAGAAATGGAAGCATACACTCTTGTTTTAAACTACTATAATTATTTAAAAACCGAAGGATTTTAATTCGAATAATCAGAAATATTGAAAGAGGTCTGATATTTCTCTATGCATTATGGATAGATCTCCCTCTGGCTCCTCTCTTTGTTTCTTGCTGTCTGCCCTACTCAACCGCGCAGCATAGTGCGTCCTCTTTTATTTTTCCGTATCTTTTGCCCGGCCGACCCGCGATCGGAAATCAATAATAACAGCGGCGTAACAAACCTATTGTTTTCTACCACTCTCGAAAAATCATATCTCCCCAAAAAACCCCGTGTTTCACAGATTCAACAGCGATTTGCTTTAACGAGATACAGATGGCCCGACGCGCAATGCCCGGCAACGAAAAATCGGTCGCCGTTGATCAACCGAATCGTGCCATTTTCTTTCTTGTCTCGTGTGAAAGCCGGACATATAGTGGCTTTCAGCTTCGAGAACTTCCCGGTTTCTCTTCAATCAGAGAAAGCGGCGAATTTAAAATATCATCGGACGACAATTGCTTCCTGCCGGCTGTCGCAGTTGAATTAGAAAAAAAGCGACCAGAGACAGGATCAAAAAGAGAGACAAAGGAGGGTGCCCGTTCTCTAGTTACGAGCCTCCATTGAAGAGACCTCATGAAAGGGCTGCCAATAAAGTCTTAATTAATTCGTTCGTTCGAGTTTCATCGAACGAATCCGCCCTCCCTAGTCTTACTCGACGTTGAAAAGATTACGATTCAACCGCCATTGATACTGTACAAAAGAGCTTTATGCGTTCTTTAAATCGCTACCACGCTGCCGGTGATTCGGCCAATGAAGCAAATAAGTAAAACTCGTAAAAACCGTATGTCCTATTTTAATTTCGATCAACTGAAAAGATGAATAAAAAAGAAAAATGTTACGCATAAAATCTAAAATCTAAATCTAAATAAATAGACTCCTCGAATATATGTTTTCCTACCCTTGTTCTACGATTATTGAATAGATAAGATATGGGTATAGTATTGTTGTGGAAATTGAAAATTCTAATTTAAAAGCTCCACGTCTCTTTCATTATCTTAATGAAAAATCGAGGATAATTTGAAAAGTCCGGCGCTAGGAGATGAATCGACGGAACCAGACAAAATCAATTGCCGTCGAAAGCGGAGGGTTAACGAAAAATACAACTCGCTCGCAAAAAAAATACGGAACTCGAATCGGGGAGAGGAAAATCGGCAGTCGGGGTAATCAATAGTCTGAGCATAACTATTGCGCGTAAAGCAACAATGTATCGTCGACGCAGTAGAGAGAGAGAAAGGAAGGCGTGGCAGCGTTCATTGGACCCTTAATGCCAATGCCAATGTCAGGGTTTTCCCGGTCAGTAACCCAGAGACCCCCACTTTCGAGCTTCAGGCACCAAGCAAAGAGCAATGCGCCCCCATTTCCGGAGTTCCGCTAACATTTCCTTGGAACAACTCTCTATCGACGAACCACAAGGAACTGTACGTTGATAACGTAGGGAAAGTTCACGTTACCGTCAACGCAGTTCACTTTACCTTCAGAATACAGATAAGGGTTGAAACTACCCTTGGCGATACTGCAGATTGTGATGTTGCCGACGCGAGAACTCACAGTATCCTGAATTTCAGGGGTTGATAAGACACTTTCGGCACGGATTAGATATGCGAGTAAATCTTTCAACAGTATCAACCAAAGTATTTTTCTATCTTCAATCATATAATGCCCATTACAAATTTTAATATTATTCACAACGTTATCAGTAGATTATGGGAAATAATCCTAACGCTCACTCTTCGTTGTAAATATGACAAAATTCTGATTAATAAACGAATGGGAAAAAAACTACTTACCATTTGTTTATCAAGCGCCTCCATAATTTCGCCGACATCGCCGACGACCACAGCTTGTTTTCGTAACATCTCTTCTTCGACTGTCAACCAATCGCGTATCTAAAATAAAAATGATGCACGATATTCAATACGTTTCTATTTTGTTTATAATATGACACAATAAAAAGGCTATAATATATAAATATAGTAAATATATATTCCTATTGCATTACTATAATCATTTTCTGCTATCCTTAATGCATATTACTATCTTTTTACGATATCGAAGAAAGAATGTATAACAATATTTTAGCTTGAAATATAGGTATTCCCAGTTGGGTTAGAAATGCTCGTTCGATGGCGATGGAATGGAAACGGAAAGAAGTCATCGATCAGACGGAGAGGGACGCAAATAGGACCGAATCGAGTATTTACAGCCGGAAATTACAACTGGGAGTGTCTATCCGTAAGTGGCCAACTCCGTATCCTAATATCGGACGGCGAGGCCAGAGGGAGAAACCCATATTCGCAATCATGATGCTATCAACCGAAAACACATTTCACATGTCGTGCGCCCATTGTTTTTCCAAGGTATTGTTCGCCCAATTATCGAGGATTGTCGACGGTTAACGAGGTTATCGTGGACGCCGTACAAATTTTACCGTGTATTCCAGTGGAACAAGACAATAGCGTGCCTTCATAAAACCCAACCGAGACAGTAGTATATAATTAAATATCAAGAGCGCGCCGGCTTAATTACTGTTTCATTTAGGAGAAACAATCTGAATCCAATAAATACCATTCGGTAATACAACTTCCTTGATATACAGGGTGATGCTGTAAGAACCATTCTCTGAAATGCTTACATTCATATTATCGTGACGCCTTGATGAATTTTTCATTTACCAAAATAATTTAATAAGCTTCGTCGAACATTTATTTAAAATATGCTTTAACGTTTCACATGCTTACAATAATTCCGAATAATTAATTTTATAAATATTCTCAAGAGATTTGTATCATCATTCAGTATCTCTACGTATCTACAGAAAAATTACTGAACTAAATGTGAAACAAAGCTACTATTCACGCATAAACTTCCTTCCTATTGCGGATTATTAATTAACTTGCGTATTTTCGCCGTTACAAGAATAACAGACTTATACATTTAAAAGCACATAATGTACAGATTCAACGATTTTAGAAACAAAAACTCTTTATATCACGTAATTACTGTTTGGTTTACTAAAAACAGAAAAACGAACAGGAAATCTATATTTTCTATCCACTGCGCTATTATTCATACATAAGAATGAATACTTCACCTAATCTAAAATCGTAATAGCCTTTTCCTTAGTTCTCCTTTATAAAAAGATAATATAATAGTCTCATTAGATAACAAAGCGATTATATCTCATACTAGAAGGAAAATTACGCTTACAAACCACAAAAAGTGAAACTAGTAAATAATCGATTTCGGATGTCGGATAATGCGACCAAGTCGCGCTTTACAGAGGGGAGGGAGCTGTAGGTCAATAAATCGCGAAACAAATAAGCCGGAGTGCTATATACAGGAAATTAAGGACCCGCTCGGACCAACATTGCCACCACCCAGTCTAAGTAGTCTCTCTTCTCGGAGCTTCGCATCTAAGCCAGTACGTCCTTCCTCCCTGTCTTTCACTTTCAACCCCTCCGTCTCAAACATAAAGCCGGCCTGATTAAGTGCATGTTGTCGAAGAACGATCATATCTCTCATGTGGTTTTCTCCGCAGCGGAGACGGTTCTTCTTTTTCTCTATCCTCCCTTTTTGAAAAGCCTCGACGAAAGAAGTCCAATGAAAATGAAAGACCTGAAGACGTCCTCCCCTGCAGGTCTCGGGGGAGTACGCCACAAAGGAGGGTAGAATATATATTTTATATATGTACACCGTGTCCCGTAACACTTATAAAAACTTCAAGTACTGACTAGCGTTCGAAAAAAATAATAAATTAACCTGTAACAGTTTTGTTTATTTTTTTAAGTGCATACTATGCTACAGAAGAAGATAAAAATCATAAGCTTTGCGTATTATCAAATGTGTGACGACATCGACCAATTTGATCTTTACGTAGTTAATCACAACATCTGAAATATGTCTAACATGTTACAGAACGTCCCGTATGCTCCAGGAAGAAAACATTCCTGCGAGAATCCTCTCGTACATGTACCATGAAACTTCTCTTACGACGCTGACTTTCATACCTGACCCGGGGAAAAGTACGCCGAAAGGTATGATAATTATGCGCCACGAGGAATTTTAGCGCGACAAAATTTTGAGAACGATACGGACTAAGAGATGTAAACTGCATGAAACATCAGATTCGTGCGAATTCATGAATGCTCACAGTAATTGGTAACACTAATAAATTGAAATAATTTAGAATATGATGAAATGAAAAACGATGAAAATTCGTAATGTTTTAACTATTGACACCTTCCTTAGTTACGATTACTTGAATATATTAATTGCATTAAATACGAATGAATATAAATAGATTTTTGCGATCTGACGATGAAAGTCATATCCAATTAGTGGAAAGAATAGAAAATGTAATCTAATTATGATTATAGTAACGCAATTTAACACCCAATAAGATTTTATATCATTGAAAAAAACAATACTGATGTATAACAAAACTATTAAACTAATTATAACGTGTGACTTATTTAATCATAGAAATAATTTCCTAATAAGCATTTTCACTTTTGTAATATCAGTGAGCGTATTTAAAGAAGAGTACCATCCTGTCTTCTTTCGTTCATGGTTCACTCCTCTCATGTACAGAAGCTTTAAATAGACTCTAGTGAGCACGACGTTAAGACAAGTTAGGTATTTTCGTAAAACTAAGCAAATAAAGCTGTACGCGTTTACCAGGACAATTGAAATTCCAAGTTAAATTTGTTTCTCCGCAAAGCCAACCTCTCCTTTCCTCTGAGTTATTTGATCGTAGAATTGCGCACGTGTACAGTGAGTCAGTCGAAAACGGCTGTACACTTTACAAAAGTGAAGATCCTGCAGAATACTCGCAAATTCGTTCGAGGAAATGCTTGTTTTTATAGTTACCTACCTCAAAAGATAGCTAACATTTTTTATAATTGTTATAAATAGATCGAATTAATGCTATGAAACATTGATCACTTTACTATGCAAAATTCTTATACTTAAATAATTTTGTTTCTCTACTACTGAAGATATAATACATTCTACGAAACAAATTCGACTCGATATAGTACACAAAATTCTTTCGGTTTCACTTTTATTTAGAGACATGATTGACTACTGAGAAAACTCCATCTGTTAACACGAAACGGGAACAAGTCCGTTAGAAGTGTACTCTCGGGAATCGAATCGCAGCAACTTAATTAAAAATATCGGGACGGCGAACGATCATGGAGACTCTTGGGCTGACCTATATCGCGCCTCTTCTACTGCTCGCGCGTTCCGTTCCGTGTCACTCGAAATAAACGAGGAGCTGCTTAATTTGAAATATAAACGCAGCTGCGCCCGCAAATCGATACAAAAGCACGGCCGGATGATGAAACATAGATAGAATCCATTTTATCGGCACCCTTTCAATCCGAATCTGGCCGGCCCGGGGCCGCGACCGGACTGAATTCCTCCGAGCGAAAAGAATTCAGAAATAGTTCCCAAACCCAATCGATACGATGAAAACTGAAAAAGTGCACGTTTATAGACGCGGCAGAATGTCAGTTGCCAATGGGAACTACTGAAAGTTCAGTCCTTAAGGTAATTGAGTAATGTTTTATATTCTTGGTATATCTCAATTCTATGTTAAGTGAAAGTTGAAAAATATGTTAACTATAGATTCAGAAGAAATGTCGAGCAAATAAAAATTGTAATATGAATGATAGAAAATAATAAATAAATAGAATATTGAGAATTATTGATGCTGCGTTTCTCAATAATGCGTAAGATACTGTATCTAAAAAAATGATAGATATAATGATTAAATATGTATTCTGATCAGGGCGCGATGAATCAAAATGTATATTTTCTACAAATTGATGATTTATTAGTTAGCTTTCGAAAATTGGCCAATTTTAGCTGTTGTTCAGAGTTCATTACAAAACAACTTCTGCTAGAGGTAGAGGTATTTTTCCAACCACGGAAAAGCGTTCCGTTTCTACAATTCACGTTGTACTTCGAGAATTCAACGACTGTGTTTCTCGACATTCAAGCGCGCCGCCATCCTCGCCGTTCGACATCGTTGTTCCATTTTCCCTTTGAATATCCTCTGATTCCTTCCATGAAAAAACGGGAAAATTCCGTGTCTCTTACCAATGAATCGTAGCGTAATTTCGGAACGTTAAAGTTACAAAGCGACAAAACGAAAATACGATCGAAATACACAAAAGAACAGAAGGTTCGAAGATGAATCACGATCAGAACGAGTTTAATACGTAGAGAGAAGAGGCACTGTTTGCGCATACTGTAATGTAACGCGTCGAATGGGAAAACATTTCCTCGGAACGACGAGCAAGAATCTAATAAGGCAGACACCACGGCCCGGCGGCCTCAAAGGAAAATAGAGTACGAAATAGTACCTACACCTGCGGAGACACAAGGAAAACGAGGTTTCCGTACATACCACCCAGAAAAGATACAGTCTAGAAACGTGACGCTCGATTGAAGGAGGACACAGATACGAGGAGAAAGGGAACGAACGAGTTTCTGGCGCAGAAATAAAAAATACGCTTTCTTTCTCTTTCTCTCTCTCTCTCGCTCTTTTCCTTTTTCTTTCTGTGATGAATGGAAAAGGTAGTCCAAAAACCTCGGCGGAGAAATGTAAGACGAATAAATTGAAGCTTAAATGCGGCTCGCTTAAAAAATTCAATGTCCCATTTTTCTCTTGCTCTTTTTCTCCGTTCTTTTCGGTCACGAAATTTTCGTCACAGAATTCGCACAAGAGAAAGATATCTCAAAATTCAATTCAAATTTTATATTATATAAACTCACAACGTAAGAATGAAGAAAAAAATAAGATATTGGATAATTGCAAGTAATAAATGCTCATTTTCTGAATAAAAAGGCATGCCAACATGGCTTTGAAATAGAGTAT